TATCCTCAGAGTAGGGGAGGGCAAGAAGCTGCCTTCACATTTCATCATCTGTACCCCTCCGTGGGAATCTGGGCGGATGATTGCCGCTGAGCCCCCAGAAGTGAGTGACTTCTTGGGAACCAAACTCCAGACTCCAGAGCTTTCCACACACTTTTGTTTATCTCTCTCTCTCTTTTCTCTCTCTCCTCCTCTCCTCCACCCCAAACTCCCATTTGCTGTGCTGGGGGACCTACTGTGCATCGTTTTATTACTGCTTTCAGTTCAGCTCTGCAGCAGCGCTGGAGAAATAATGTCACCGTATCTCGGCTCCATATGCTCTGCGAAGCTGACAACCAGAACAACCTTTCCCTTTGTTTGCTCTGCTTACTTCCAGCATTATAAAGTCCCAGAAAGAGTCACAGGTGCTTATTCCCCTAATGCCGCCACCCCCATCCTTCCCATCTTGGGTTCCTCCACAGAATGTGCAGGCCTTGGCGGCAGACGATGCCGTGTGCATTTCACACAAAGGGAGGAAACACAATTCTGCACGATGCTGGAGGACAACGCGAAGCGTCCTTTATTGTGGGGCGTATTTATAGAACAGGCATTTAACGCAATGGCCAGGAATCCCATTGAAAAAGCAGGTGCCTTTTGGACTCTCCGGAATATTATGGGCTGCTGCTGGTTTCATTTAGAGCCTATTTTCCCTTGTTTAGATGGCTGCATTTGGGGGCTGGCAACAACTTCTTATTTTGCAATATTTTTACCAACTCAACTTCAGCTTAAAATAGGGGTGGAGATGCACTCAGCCTTCTTAAAACAAGGATGCACTTTGCGAGCCATGTTAATGGTGGGGAGAGAAATGCCCTGCATATTATTATAATAATAATAATAATAATAATTTATTTATACCCTGCCCATCTGGCTGAGTTTCCCCAGCCACTCTGGGCGGCTTCCAACAGAACACTAAAATACAATAACCTATTAAACATTAAAAGCTTCCCTAAACAGGGCTGCCTTCAGATGTCTTCTAAAAGTTTGGTACTTATTTTTCTCTTTGACATCTGGTGGGAGGGTGTTCCACAGGGCAGGTGCCACTACCGAGAAGGCCCTCTGCCTGGTTCCCTGTAACTTGGCTTCTTGCAGCGAGGGAACCGCCAGAAGGCCCTCAGCGCTGGACCTCAGTGTCCAGGCAGAACGGTGGTGGTGGAGACGCTCCTTCAGGTATACTGGACCGAGGCCGTTTAGGGCTTTAAAGGTCAGCACCAAGACTTTGAATTGTGCTCGGAAACGTCCTGGGAGCCAGTGTAGGTCTTTCAATACCGGTGTTATATATTTAACAGCTTCGTGGCAGGAAAAAATGCAGCAGGATTGTGGCATGCAGGTGCAGTTACAGGACAAGCTTCACCGGCTGAAATGTTATGGCTCTTCAAGGTAAATGTTCCTTGAAGGAATGAAGGCTGCAGAAACCACAGTTTCTGGAGGATCCCCTCTCCACTCTGCCCAATTCCTGCCCATCTGCTTCCCTGCTTGCTCTCCAGCTTAGGCAATTGCAGTTTTAATACAGTACCACTCACCAGCACAGGTTTCTCTCATTGTCCACCTCATATATACGGCTGGCCCTTTCTCCATGCCCCATTGCAATCCCCTCTCCTGCACAGCTGTTCAGAGACCAGCAAACTGGCTGCTTTCCCTTGAAACTGGTTATTTTTGTGTGTGTGCTAAACAGAAGAATACTCCATACGACTCTTGTAATCAAGCCAAGCTGCATACTGCCATTCCAAGACTCACAAAGGTTATTTGTGTGCATTGCTGTTGTTGCTGCGATTTGTTGGTTTTCCATCCTGCCTTTGTTCCTGCAGCAGCCAACCGCGGCACACAAAAATCGCAAGATACAGTCATTACAAAATCATGGTTGAAATAGGAACGAAAACATCTATCAGAATTCAAGAGTGTGAAGGAGCAGACACAGCAAATGCAATAATACTTGAGCCGATGGGCTTCTCATTCTGGCTATGCGCCAAAAGGCCTGAATAAACTGAGGCTTAAAAGTGACCAACAATCACTGGCAGACAAAGGTGGGAGTGGAAGGCGGTCTGCCCCAGGTACCATCTGGGGTGTGTGACATTGCGGCCACCCCACCCCCAGGGCACTCGGTGCTCTCCACGCACCCCCGGGACATGCATCACTTGCCGTGCACCCCCTTGATGCGTGCCACGCCCCCGGGACATGCGCCAGCCATGCCCCCGGATGTACGCCACTCCCGGTGCCAGAGCAGGTAGCTTCGCCACTGCCAACGATAGTGATGGCCAACCTAAATCTTGATGAATATTAGAAGATTCAGGATGGGGTGGGGGGGAGAAGCAATTATTCACACAGAGTGTAGTTGACCTGTGGAACTCCCTCCCACAAGAGGCTGTGATCAACTTGGATGGCTTTAAAAGTGGATTAGACAAATTCTTTTTCAAAAAATATTTTCATTCATTTTTAACAATTATCATCACAAATAAATCGTAATCGTATACACATAGGAATCTCTGAATCCCTGTACCTCCCTCCACACCTCCATGGTTTCCATCATTATTCTTTTCCAACTGCTTCTTATAATGCTCTCCATATTTTCTTAATACTCAGTTCTCACCATAGTTCTTGCTACATTGCAAGTGGGGTTTTTTTTATAATCCTGCCAAACTTTTTAATTATTTACAGTGTTCTTTTAAGTAACTTACAAATTTTCCCCATTCTTTATTAAATTAAATTTATTATCTTTTTGATCTCTGATCTTCCCAGTCATTTTCGCCATTTCTTCATGGTCCATCACCTTTGTCAGCTATTCTTCTTTTGTAGGTACTTTCTCTTCCTACCATCTTTGGGCAAGTAGCACCCACGCAGCTGTCATCGCATACATAAACAGTCTCTTCTGCTCCTTTGGTATTTGTGGACCTAAATCTCCTAGTAAAAAAAGGTTCTGGTTTTTTCACAAAAGTAATTTTAAACATTTTTTTTCAACTCATTGTAAATCATTTCCCAATATGCTTTGGTCACCTTGCACAGCCACCACAGGATTAGAGAAATTCATGGAGAAGAAGGCTATCCGTGGCATGGCTACTAGCCATGATGGGGGCTATGCCCTGTCTGCACTGTCAGAGGCAGTAATGCTTCTGAATATCAGATCCTGAGAATCACAAGTGAGGAGAATGCTATTGAGAGCCAGTGTGGTGTAGTGGTTAAGAGCGGTAGTTTCGTAATCTGGGGAACCGGGTTTGCGCCTCCGCTCCTCCACATGCATCTGCTGGGTGACCTTGGGCTAGTCACCCTTCTCTGAAGTCTCTCAGCCCCACTCACCTCACAGAGTGTTTGTTGTGGGGGAGGAAGGGAAAGGAGATTGTTAGCCGCTTTGAGACTCCTTCGGGTAGTGATAAAGCGGGATATCAAATCCAAACTCTTCTTCTTCTTCTTCTGTTGCATTCAGGTTCTGGTTGTGAGCTTCCTATAGACATCTGGTTGGCCACTGGACAGGATGCTGGACTTGAAGGGGAAATGCTTCACCAATTGTTCAGTGCCGTTAGGGATATTCCTTCTGCCATCTCCCTCTACAGCTGCTTTGCACTTACGCAGAGCCAACGACGCATACAGATCTTCTTTCCTGGTTGGGGGCAAATGCCTATCCAAATTTCTCCACGTATAGAAAACCCACTTAAACCCTCCTCTCTCTTTTGGTTTTTTGCATGTTGTGCCAAGCAGTCTTCTGGAGAGTTTGCTTGTGGCCATGAAACCAATATTTCTTTCGAAGTGTCTTGAGAAAGAAGGAGAGGAATGGTCTGCTCGACACTGAACCAAAGTGAAAAACAATTCCCCGAACTCTTGAGTTTTTGCTTGATCACGGGTAGTGAACTTGGTTAAAAAATTCTTTCAGCACTGAATCCTGGAATTTCTTGAAACGTATACAAAACGTGTCAGAGGGAAGGGGGAGCATTCCACTGCGCCTGTCAGTGCCTCTCTAGACAGAGCTACGGTAACAAATGTTTCCAATTATCAGTGAGAGTTTGCATGCATGGTGTGTTATATCAGTAAATGCCGTAGGGTAGACTCAGTACTCTCCTGCTACTTTGGGTAAAGTCTGCCCTTAAACATTTACATCTGCTTAAAAACAACACACACACACACACACACACACACACACACACACAAACACACACACACTTTGGGGAGTTTGCAGACTTTTGGATTCGAAGACAAAAACCAACCGAGCAGGATCCTCTGCAAGAGCCCAAGTTGCACCAGTGCAGGACGGTACTGAATTTATATATTGTATTATTGGATGTGTGTATATAATCTGAAAGCTGCCTGGAGGAGGGGAGCATCTGGAGACCAAAAGCTGGGGCATGTGAACAAGCAAAACATCTGCAGGTATCCAGTATTAGGCCTGGCTGCCCCCCAGGACTGTGAATCCAGTCCTTTATGAGAAGTGCGACCCTGTCTGCAATAGGTTGAGCACGGTCCATAATAGTTCAATGTGTCAGAACACATGCTTGGCATGCAGAAGAGTCCCATGTTTGATCCCCTAGTACCTGCAGGTGCAGCTCAGAAAGACTCTTCTGCCTGAGATCCTGGGGAGCCACTGCCTGGTCAGTGTAAACAATACAAAGCTAGATGACTTATTGTAAGGCAGGTTCGAATCCCCGCAATGGGGTGAGCTCCCATTGCTGTGTCCCGGCTCCTGCCAACCTAGCAGTTTGAAAGCACACCCGTGCAAGTAGATAAATAGGTACCACTGTGGCGGGAAGGTAAATGGCATTTCCATGCACTCTGGTTTCCGTCATGGTGTTTTGTTGTGCCAGAAGCGGTTTAATCATGCTGGCCACATGACCCGGAAAGCTATCTGTGGACAAACGCTGGCTCCCTTGGCCTGAAAAGCGAGATGAGCGCCACAACCCCAGAGTCGCCTTTGACTGGACTTAACTGTCCTGAGTCCTTTACCTTTACCTGTGAGGCAGGTTCCTGTGTTCCCATTTGGGAAAGGGCATAGCTCAGTGGCAGAGCACCTGCTTTGCATGCAGAAGGTGCTTGTTTCAATCCCCAGCAACTTCAGGTAGGGCTGGGAGAGAGTGGAGAGCTCACTGACCTCCTCTATCCATTCCCCATGTCTACCACCCCATCTGAATTTGCTGGAAAGGAGAGATGAGTGTCATCAATATATTGACAAATTCTCTCCTTAATCAAATGCAGTTGTGAAAGAACCATGGGGCAAATCAAGCCAAAGAAATGATGCACCACTCAAGTGCTCGCCACTCTCCCTCCCTATACCTGAGGAGCATTTCCCCTCTACTCATGGAGCCAGCAATGGAGGAAGAGGCAGAAGAGCAGCCCTGGTGGTGGAGGAGATGTGACTCCTGTGTGTCATGCCATAAAACTCCTCTCTCACTGGGAAGACTAGGCACTGTGGCAAGAGGAGAAGGAGACACACAGCAGGACCCAAACACGTGTGTGGCTTCAGATCCAGCAACATAAAACCACCCTGCCACTGCCCAGGGGTGCCTGCTGCACCTTCTATCATCATTCGCTTGGTTCCCATGATGCCTCACATAGGAGCCAACACCTAGGGGTCAAGATCCCTTGCCCCTACATTAAATATTTGAGGGGGCTAGGCCCTCCCAAAGTTGACGTGTGTTGCCATTCAAATGGTGTCCATGCACCATGTCATGTGATTGATTGTAAGCCCTACCCCAAACTTGGACACCCTCCTCCAATATTTTATTCAAATTGACACCCCTGGTGCCTCAGTTTCCCATAATGGGAAGGGCTTCTACTAGGCCTCCTATTAGATGGGTTGGACTCCATTTCTTATGATTCTCTCTCTCTCCCCCAGTCAGCCTTCGCTCCTCTCGGTAACAAACAAAAAGCAACACCATCGCAACTCACACCTCTGACTCTGCCAACTTCCGATTCTTCTGCCCGCATCCTGCCTTTCACTCCTCACTCCCAAGCCCACCCCAGTAAGTACAACCACACCTTTCTAGGGTGGCATCATTAATGTGCAATGCTGCTCTCAGAAACCACTAGCACAGTACACATACACGCACACACGACTGCAGCTGTCTGGCATCCATAACAAGCTTATCAAAGAGTTTCTCTGCAGTGATATCCAAGCCCTGCAGGTTTTGAATCATAGCAGGTGATGGCTGGATGCGCCGAAACCAGGACTGAAATCAACGAGGTCAACAAAACACGTCAGGGAGAGCACAGTAATTGGCAACTCAGCAGCATTAGCTTCACCTTCTCCCTCGCCTGTGTGTGTGTGTGTGTGTGTGTGTGTGAGAGAGAGAGAGAGAGAGAGAGAGAGAGAGAGAGAGAGAGAATCTTAATCTTTGCAGCCAATGGGAAGACTTTTTGTCTTGCGCCTTTATATTGTGGAGCGTACCTTTCTGATGCACCCCGGTGTTGCCTTTTCTAAGGGAGACATGATTCTCATCTTTTTTGTTTCTGTTCTTCACAAACAGACCCTCCCTCTCAATAATATCAGGCATGAAAAGGGTTTGAACTGGGGTGGGGGAGGCACCAGAAAAGGAGAGCATCACAAGGTGGGCTGGCTTTTCTTCGGAGGAATTCCCATCTCCAGCTTGGTTCTCATGAACCACGAATATTTTGTAGGGGGTGGAAGAGGACTCTTTCAGCTGTCAAATTTTACTCCAGTATCATCTGCCCTGTGGCAATCAGCAGCTTTACCACCCGGTGGTGTTCCAATTAGAGCCTGGAGTCCCCTGAAGTTCTCCTCCACTAGAGACATTTCTTTTTCCTGCCCACTCATGTCTTCCTGGACTGCATCCAAGATCACCGTGGGTGGCTCTCATCTTCCAGGAAAATGAAAACAAGCCACTGCCACCAGACTGTCCCACATCTCTGTACTGGCATCATGTTAATCTGCATCATTAGTGTGGTCCTCAAGCATCCTTCTCAGAAATGTCATGTGGCCACTGGCCTATAGTGCAGGAGGAGGATGCATCAGAAATGATGGATGGTGGTCACCAAAAGCAAGTACAAGATAAGGCAACTGTATCTTCCCCCTCTCTCCTTCCCTTCTCCTTAGCTGTGTAGGCCTGCATCTCTATCATGTGTTGAATGTCTGAGGGGCTACCTATTGCCTTGGCTCCATGACCCCTATTCTGTTCAAGGACAGAAGGACAACCCTTTTCAGGACCAAAGGCTTTAATGTAATAACACAGGATTAAACAGAACAAATAGTCCATGTAGTTCAGTAGTACTGACACTTACTGGAAGTGGCTCTCCAGGGTTTCAGGCAGCGAGTTGTTTTCCAGCCCTACCTGGAAACACCAAGAACTGGAACTGGAACCATCTGCTTGCAACACATGTTCTCTGCCACTGAGCTAGTCCCGGAAGAGCCTTTAGGACTCAGGTTGCCGACTCTTTCCCCACATCAGCTGAAATCAAAGTCCCCGTTTCTCTGCTAGGGTCTAGCATGTGAGTCAGAAGGTGCACTCCTCCTCCGTGGATCCCATTCACTTCAATGGAGTTGGTGCAGATGGTGCTCTACAGGAAATTCCGACCCCCCACCTGCAGCGATATATGGGGGGGGGATACAGTCTTCTCTATTGAGAGGCAGGGGGAGGATCTGGCGAGGGCCAGTTCTCTTCCGCGCCTCCGTATGCCAGCTGTAAACTATAATGCAGTTATGTATTATGTATGTAATAAATAATTCATGGAGAAAGGGGGTAAAAAAAAAATACTTTAAAAAAAAACAGAGAAAGATTTAAAAACCGTAAAAAGCTAAAACCACAGCAATCTAATCCAATCACTTCCCAGAGGCATCAGCCCCGGCTAAAGTGATGGCTTTCACAATGTTTCTTGAAGGTCAGCTTGTCAGGAGCTTTGAGGACCAAGAGGAGGTGGAGACCCAGAGACAATCCGCTAAAATTAGGGGTGCCAAACTTTTATTTAAAGGGGGCTTTGCTACTGCACCTTTAACAACGGCTCAGTCTGGAGGCGGTTGCAGGTGATGATGGTTGCCTCCAGGCCATTGAAAGCTCTTCTTGCTGGGTTGCTTTTTCCCTTTTTTGCAGCCAAGCACAGCTGTCAAAGACACTCAGCAGGCAAAGCCAGGATTCTTCTCTGATCCGCTGCCCCAATGTTACAGCAAAATTCAAAGTGTTGGTGCTCACCTTTAAAGCCCTAAACGGCCTCGGCCCAGTACAGTCGGGTTACAGACGCTTCAGGTTACATACGCTTCAGGTTACAGACTCCGCTAACCCAGAAATAGTACCTCTGGTTAAGAACTTTGTTTCAGGATGAGAACAGAAATCGTGTGGCAGTGGCACAGCGGCAGCAGGAGGCCCCATTAGCTAAAGTGGTACTTCAGGTTAAGAACGGACCTCCAGAATGAATTAAGTTCTTAACCCGAGGTACCACTGTATACCTGAAGGAGAGTCTCCACCCCCATCGTTCAGCCCAGACACTGAAGTCCAGCACTGAGGAGGGCCTTCTGGTGGTTTCCTCCCTGCGAGAAGTGAGGTTACAGGGAACCAGGCAGAGGGCCTTCTCGGTAGTGGTGCCCACCCTGTAGAACACCCTCCCACCAGGTGCCAAAAAAAAACCAACTATCTGATTTCAGAAGACATCTGAAGGCAGCCCTGTTCAGATAAGTTTTAATGTTTGATGTTTTATTGTGTTTTTAATATTCTGTTGGTAGCCACCCACAGTGGATGGGGCAACCCAGCCAGATGGGTGGGGTATAAATTATTGTTGTTGTTGTTGTTGTTGTTGTTGTTGTTGTTACTACTACTACTACAGTGAGGATGTTGGCTGGTTGGAATTCTCATGGGGATGTGTGAGGGTAAGAGAAGCAGTGGTTGGCAAAGAGGTCTTTCCAAAGGATTCTTCCATCTCTGTGATATGGAAGTCCAGGTACAGATACTGGTAGCAGTTGGACAGAGGTGGAGGGAGGAGAAGGGCAGGATGAGCAAGCGCCAGTCATGGTGCCCTTAAGCACATCCTCAACACTAGGGCCTCAGCATCTGCCTATGGGTGCCCACTGTCCGACAAGAAGAGCCTGCCTAGTCCAGCATCCTGTTCTCACAGTGGCCAACCAGATACCTATGGAAAACCCACAAGCAGGACCCAAGTGCAGTAGTAGCAGCTGATATTCAGAAGCATACGACCTCTGACCATAGGTGCAGAGCATAACCATCAAGGCTGGTGGGCACTGATAGTCTTCTCCTCCATTAATTTGTCTACTCCTTTAAAACCATCATGGCTGGTGGTCATCACCGCCTCTTGTGTACTAAATTCCATTATTATGGGCCCTACTCATGGACTTGTGTTATTTATCCAGTGTAGCATAATATTAGCAGCAGTAGAATGCATTAGATCTGTCCCATCTGTGATTTCAGAGGATGGCATGGAAGATGCCCATCGAGCAAAGCCAGCTGGGGAGCCACAAGGAGCTGTAACAGAGGACATGCAGATAAGGTCACTGGTCAAAACCATATTGGAGCAAACAGAATAACTTGAGCAAGGAGGACGGGAGTCCATTGACCTGGTCTATTTCTCCATAGCAAATGTTCCTAGGTGCATTGTGCACGATGGACAGCAATTTGTGCAAGCCTGGTCTAATGGCCCTCTGGTTATCTTTCTACCACACATCCTTCTCCTCAATATACCCCAGCCTATCTTTCATGGAAGACACGCATTATCACTGCCAAATACAGTTTCCACTTCACCTTGACTTCCTGGTCTCAGTATCCACTCTAATGTAGCCTTTGCTTCTAATTTAGTCCTGTCTTTCTTCTTAACTGTCCTCCATCCTGACCCTGACAATGCAAAATGAAACACCCCGTTGTTCCATTCGGGTAGGGGGGGGAGGTCATTCTTTCTGCTCTCCTGATTCAATTTGCTCACCTCGACATTCAGCTTCCTCTCCAGCCACCAGGGCAACATGTCTGCTTTAAGACACTGGCCCAAAGCTCAACTCCTCCTGACCCCAAAATCTGATCGCTGCCTCTCTGCAGCTTCTCTAAGCACTTGGATCATCCCCAACTGGACAAGGGAGCTCCGTTCTCACTCTTGTAATTTACTAC